TGCAGATTAATTTGTGTACGACTGATAATTATTTGTAAACGTTACAAGAAATATATGTTCTTTTTTACTATACATGTTATATACATTGATAATTTAAGGATCAGTATATATATAATAAATTATTGATTGTTATATATATTTTATAGTATTTAATATTATTATCAATTCATTAGAGTACATATTTAATATAAAATCTAAGTACATTATTATATTATAGTATAAATATATTAAGCAAGTAAATATTCCATTATTATATATTTATCATAATAATTAAGGTAAAATTATGAAATATGGAAACGTTATATAATGTGACTACTCATACACAAAGCACCATTTTCTTTACAAAAATAGTTATTCTAAATGTTCCTTTAAGAAATAATATAATAATTAATAGTTATATAGCGATTATTATTATAACACAAATATACGAAATCATAAAAATGCATAAACCTTATTCGTTTAAATTTAATAATGACATATTGCATAGAATTTGATTTTTAGCATTATATATCTCTTCTTATAAAATGATATCAAATAATTCTTTTGTAATATATACTTTGACACTAAGTACTATGAATATAATACTATATTCACTAATTTATTATTTATGAATATATAAAAAATATTCCATAAGGCTGGTTAATAATCATTTAAAAAGTGTATATATTTTTTTAATTATTTTTTTATAGCAATTCCAGTATTAAGAAGATAAAGTCATAAATTTATTACGAACGATATTTTTTGTTGCACTAAATGTATATGAAATGGGGTTTATTTATTATTGATAATTAAAAAATAATTAAAAAAAAAAGTATGAATAAAGATTAATTGAGAATTCATTAGAAACTATATAAAAGTACTAATACGAAAAAAATATGTAAATGACATTTTTACGTATATTTCGCTATAATTTAAGCTAAAAAATCATATTCTAAATTAGTAGAATATATCTTTCTTAAATGAAAGATATGCAGCGTAGATTTTATTTATGTTTTCTTCTTTAAGATATACATTTAAATGTTTTACATTATATATGAAGTCGCTATATGTATTATTTTTACATTCCCAAACATATGAACTATGTTTATAAGATCGATGATTAGAATGATAATGCTTTTGTCAAATGATTTCATATACATATCCCAATTTATTGTAATAATTTCGAGGAAATTCTTCGTAAGAAAATGATATAACTATATAATATATATTTAAAATATATGAATATGCGAAATGTTCTTTATTATGATTTATAATTAAACATATTGATAGAGATGTTTTATTATATTTATTTTTAGGTTATATTATATATATAAAAATAAAATAGAGACTTAAACTTTTTCATAATATAAATAATTGTTTATCTAAATATTTAAATTCAAACAAGATTAATTTATATATTTTATTAGATTCATATAATGTCTTACCTATATCAAATAAAACACTTGAAATAAACCTAGATTAATTAATGTGTGCATAAATAAAAAAATATACTTTAACTTTTTTATATTAGCTTTACATTAGCTTATCATGACTATAGAATATCAAAAAAATGTCACACAGTTTTAAATAATTAAATATCTATATTAGAATCTCCTCATCTACATAATTCCGTGCATATACATGCTACATAGATTATGTATATTTTTAGATATTATTATATAATTAAAAGATGTTTAATGGATTTTCATAAATGAAGTATAAGGAATATAAATAATAACATGATAATACCTAGTATTTTCAATTATTAATAAATATATATTATTTTATAAATATTTTTTGTGATAAATTTTCAGACTTATATATATTTAACCAGAATTAAATGCACCTTAATATACAATAATATATATGATGTTATATAAATAACTATAACACAATAAATGATATATATACATATTTATGTTAGACAGATATATTTATAAGAGTTAGTAACTTTTTCTATTCTACGTGTATAGGGTGCCTTATAAATTTTGTAAAAATATATATTAGTAAGAATAGATATAACACAGAAAAGAGTAATGTGCCGAAAAATAAATTTGGTATATATTTATGCATAACATATATATTATTCAAAAAAAAATTTCTCCTAAGACATATATAATTAGGGATACAAAAAATATAATAATGGGGTGCCTAAATTGAGAAATCACATATATATATATATATTGATCGTATTGCTTAATTTTATCGAAATCATGTGTCTTACAGATTCTATAAAATATATTCTTTTTCAATATAGAAGTCTTTTTTTTTATAAACATTACATATATTAGGTTTTTTTTCATTTGCTTTATTCTGATATATCATTTTACACTCTTAACATTTTTTTAAATTCTTTAATATGTGTTCCCTTTCCTACACTTCCTTTTTTATTGTAAATTGCATAATAAAGAGTTGTATAAGCATACTCTTCTATTTATATTTTAACAATTATTCTTTACATTGGAAATTGTGTTATTGGCATAAGTAAACCTATAATAATGTGATATATATATTTTTAGAGTGATATTCCTTATATAATTAAAGAAAATATTTATGTTGGAACTATTATATACTTCAAAATATTCATATTATTTAAATTTAATAATTATATACGTATGTATCAAAAATTGTCTTACTAACATATACATACATATCATCATGTAGATAAAATGTTATTACACACAGAAGAAAATAAAAAAAATATGTTGTATACTTTTAAATTTTTCTATGCTACTACTTCAATATTCATTATAGATGATGTTTAATTTATTAATTCTACTTTTAATTATTATCCACATTATGTAATTAAAGCGTCTTTATTATTTTACATAATATATATAAACATATATATTATTTTTACCTATAATTAATATGATTTACATATTTACTGAACTAAGCCATAATACATTATTAATTATTTTATATTATATGTATGATCAGACATCTTTAATGAGATTTCATGATGCTAAAATATGGGCACCATAAGAAGAAAAATGTTTCCAAATTTAAAAATTTTAGAAATCTAATAACAAAAGATGATGTTATATATATTCATACGCAATTATTTTTTACAACTTTCTTAGTAAGAAAAAAGAAAAAATGTAATTTTAGTTATTTATTATTTAATTATCACAATAATTGCACTCCTTTTTTTGAGTAGTAATATAGGACTGCGGAAAATTTTTATGTAAACAGATTAATTTATTGAGATATGTATGTTCAAAAAATATTATTTTTAGAAATTCAGAACTCGTAAATATAAATAAAGAAAAGAAGTTTCTATATATAGAATATTAAGCTTCCTGAATATAAGTTTAAGAATTTAACAAAAATAAAACAAATAAAACAGTGAATTTCATATAGATAGAAAAAAATTACAGTTTTTTAATTTTTTTTTATAATAAAAACATAAAATATGTGAACATTTAAAAAATATTAATATTTATTTTTATATATTATTTTTTTCCATATTTTGCCAAGTTTTTCATTTCGTAAATAGTTTTTATATCAGATTCTAACAGAATATTCTTTATTTTAATTATTACCTAGAATCTTGTATGATATTTGAAAAAATTATAGGATAATATTTCATATAGAGACATTTTATTTTTATTTCTTTATTATATGCTCTTTGCTGAAATGTACATAATAAAATATATTTATCATATATAAAATTATTTTTTTTTCTATCTACGTAATATATTATTATGAATTTATATGAATATTTAAGTGCCATTAATAATTGAAATTATGTAATCATTAACAATACCAAAAAATTTATAATAAGATATATTTTTAAAAACTACAGGAAATTTTAATAAATTACCAATTTATACCTATATTTAAATGCATTATGTTTATATAACATAATTTAAAACTGTAACTACTTTTATATTCGTATTATTTGTATATAACCTAGCTACATTATAACTAGGTCACAATTTAATAAGAATATGCACTAAAATATAATTATTTCGGATACAAATATTTGTATTAATTTACTTTTGTTTATATACTTTCAATTGTAGAATAATTATTTAATATGATATATATAAATAATATTTTATTGAATACACTTAACTTTTCATAAATGTGAATGTGTTTGTAAAATGCCATTATTAATTTTATTACGGAGTAACAACATGATATGTTTAAAAAATAATATTTTCGTAAATTTATAATTAAAATATAGATTTTTTCTCAAAAGAAAAATACAATTTTTTAGAAAGATTTTTATTAGTTTATATAATGTCCAATTAATATAACGTATAATAAAAAATTATTTATATATTTGGCAATACTAAGAGTATGATGACAATATATAAATTTAATATGTTTACACTATATTTCATGTTTCGCATCGTAATAGTATTAATAATATGAATAATATATAAATAATAATTTTTTAATATAATATGGAAATAGAGGAAAACATAGCTAATTCAAAAAAAAATAAAAGGAAATTTTTAGGAAGTATATTACATTTATGCAGTGGACAAAAATAGAAATACGCTATTTAATATATTATATAAAAATATAATATTTAACATGTATCATATAAATGATATTCAATTATTTATATTAAATATAAAATAAAAAATATTGATATTAATTTAATCAGTAGCTCATATCGTAAATGGCCTTCTATATAATATTCATAATGTTTATATGTCATAATTGCATTATAAACAATAATATAATGCATATTATTAAATAACTAGAATAAATAATTAAACACACATTTTATAAATATCACTGAATACATGAAATATACAATGTTATATAATATCTGATGTAAACAATATATATAGATATATCATAAAATACAACTATAAAGAAATTATATATCAAAGAATTTTACAAGAATAGACAAAAGTATGAGCACACATACCTAATCATCAATAGCACTCAATATATTCATAATAATTTTATTAGAAAATTTTCAACATATTAGTAAAAACATAGTTTTATATATGCTTGTTTTATTTTTTTTGTATGTCACTTTTTAACATCCGTTAATAATGGTAATTGATCTAGGGGTACGTTTTTTGTATAATATAAACTATTATTTATGTTAAAATATATATTCCATCCTAAATTAACTATTATATATTTTTTTTTGTTTTAAATTCATAGGATGACCAATGTATAAAACTACATTCAAAAGAAATATACGCTAGTTTCAATAATGGTGATGATGATTGTAAGGATGCTCATTTTCACACATATGTGATGTCTCTTCTAAAAACAGTGGAATGGAAGAACGATGTTTCTAACGATATCCTTAAGGCCTTATGTTATGTATATAATACAAATAATGAAGGGAACTTTAATAATGATGATTGTGATTACCTGTACTATTGGTTAAATGATATAATATATGCTAATATCATATATCAGATAAATTCTACAGCTGTTATAGAAGTACTTGAATTTTTACTGAAAGCTAAAGATGGCTTGAATATATGTTATAATAATAAATATAATGTTGATCAAGAAAATTTTAGGGATATTAAGGTAATACATGATTTTTCAAAAGATTATGATAAGCTTAAAGAATATTTTAGTAACGATCATAGGTTTTGTAATAACGATGTTAAGATATATCTTAATGAGTATATCAGAAAATATAACGAATTCAAACATATCTGTAATCAATTAAAAAGTAAACAAGAGACTTGTAAGGCTTTTAATAATTATTTTAAAGGTAAGACTCAAGAAGACTTATTTGAATGGCAATTAAGATTAGAAGGAAGAAGTCATAATTATACAACACAAAATGAACGACATATAAGATTAGAACGACGAAAAGATCAAGGAGAAAACACAGTACAGACACATGCAGTTGTATATACAGATAATAACGGAAAAAATGCACATGAAGATGTAAATCAACAAACATATATGAATACACATATACATGATTTAAAACATGAACAATCGTTAGATTTTTCTTTCAAAAAGAAAACTCCAGAATTGAGTGCTATTATTGATATTTCAGATAGTTCTTCAGGTTCAACCTCAAAAAGTATGTTAATTCCTTCTTTAGGTATAGGAATTTCCATTTTTTCCATTATATTGTGCAAAGTAATTATTAATTCGAATAAAGAATAAATGTGTATTACAATATGTTACATAATTTTTATTAATTATTAAACATATGTTTAAATGTTATATATAAAATGTGTTGCACATATGCCATATTTTAATTAGTTTACTCCAGTTGGGTATTGGATAAAAAAAATATTACTTGGAAAATCTAAAAGGAAAC